ATAATCGACCCCACCATAAGTGTAATAAAATAACCATAAATGTAATCAAACAAAACCCACCATAAATGTAATAACCCTCCAACCACAAATGCAATAACCAAGTATTCCGGAGAGTCGAAAAAAGTCAACAATCAACAAACAACTCTAAGCAGCATTGTTTGAGTGTTTCATCAAACACAGTGGGTGGGGCCACATACCACGTGATAGCCTGCGTAAACAGCCGTTTTGGATACGGATGGAAGTGCAAGAAATGGCTGTTAACGCAGCTTGACACGTGACTGTGGGATTTGTTTTGTGACAGAAAGAAAATATGATGTAATAGTCCTAAAATAAATAAATAAATTTTGCGAAACATTGCTCCTGTTGACGCAGGCTATTCAATTGACCTTGGGATTTGTGAGAAAATATTATGTACATCCGTATGATGATGATGGTGATGATGATGGTGGTGGTGGTGGTGGTGATGATGATGACGATGGTGATGATGGAGATGATAATGAAGGTGGTGATGATGGTGATGATGATGGTGATGGTCATGATATGGTCATGATGACTTGTGGAGATGGCGATGGCGGTGATAACAAATGTTACATGACGATGATGAAAACGGCTGCTAAAGGCGCCCGTCTTCACATGCTTTCAGCTGGAAGCCGTTGAGCTGCGCCACTGCTGTACTTGCGGTGGTGATAGGCGATGAGGTTTTTTTTATAATGATAACTGTAATGATGACGATAATGACTATAATGATAATTTTTTTACTTATATTTATTAGCTTTTATCCCTGAATTTTTAGAATTATTATTTCTACAATTTTATATTGCTACTATATTATTATTATTATTATTGTTGTTGTTGTTGTTATTGTTGTTGTTTTTGGTTTATTATTATCATTACTATATTATAATTATATATCTTTTCATTGTTTGTACATAATTACGTAATTCATCCCATGGGCTGCGATAAATTGTTCAATAAAAATCTATCTAAATATGTCTAAATAAATCTAAATGAATAAAGTAATACAAAAAAGTCTTTATTCCTGAACAAGAGTTAGGGTTAGGGTTAGGGATAGGGTTAGGGTTAGGGTTAAAAAGGGGTAATACTATAACCGTGCTGAAAATGAAAGCAAACGATCGGAATTCGGATGTTGCACACCGATAGCACTATTTTACGCAAAACATTGGAGTCATTGGGCAATGTTTTACAGCATTCCCCTTTCTAACCCTATCCCTATCCCTAACCCTAACCCTAACTCTTTTTCAGGAATAAAGACTTTTTTGTATTACTTTAATTATTTAGATTTAGACATATTTAGATAGATTTTTATTGAAAAATCTAATAATAATAATAATATTTATTTATATAGCGCTTTATAGTACACTCAACAAAATTACTCGACTCTGATTGGTCGAGAGGAGTACAATTATAGCGTTAATTGTACTCCGTAGGAGTACCGAATTAAGTCGCTATGGCAACACGGCCAAAACAATGTCAAAACAATTATTTTCTATCATTTTGTACTTAAAAAGCATAAATAGAATTTTAAAGCCGTAAGAACTAATCTTTTTTATGCATTTCAGTTGCGCGATGGACTGGAAATCGGCCGCCAAATAGACAAAGATGAACGGCGTCGCTTCSCATTTTTTACTGAAATTTTGTTGAGTGAACTATAAACAAAAAATCGCACGATCTTCTCGTACAATTTGGAATTAATAGACACTCGTAATGTTTTGAAAGTCCTATAATTGTACTCGCCTAAAGGCTCGTGCAATTACAAGAACTTTCAAAACATTACTCGTGTCTATTAAATTCCAAATTGTACTCGAGATCGTGCGATTTCCTATACAAATCCACTAGAGTGATTTTCATATGATCGTGAAAGAATAGGCAAACTAATAGTTAGTAGTAGACTCTAAACCAATGATTTTCTTTTGTTCTTTATCAACTATTACAAACTAAATGGTCTATTTTCTTTTACGGTCATATGAAAATCACTCTAATTGCTCAGAGCGCTCACTAATAAAAAATAATACATAATTAACTAAGCTAAATAAAAATTGAGATGTAAAAATATGTGAAACAAAACAATAAAAATTGTACTAATTGTAAAATTATAAATTAAAAGCTAACTTAAACAAATGTGTCTTCAGCGAATTTTTAAAAACAGACACAGATGGAGACTTTCGTATTTCTATCGGTGAATTGTTCCAAAGTCTTGGTGCAGCGACAACAAAAGCATTGTCTCCATACGTTTTAAGATTGCTATTAGGTATAGATAAAAGTTCTTTGCTAGTGGAACGTAATGATCTAGAGTACTTCTGATAACTTAATAACTCAGATAAATAACATGGTAGAAGCCCGTTTAAACCCTTATATACAAGTAAAAGTAACTTAAAAGTAATTCTATATTGTACAGGCAGCCAATGTAACTTAATTAAAGCTGGAGTTATGTGCTCAAATTTCTTAGTCAATGTAACAACACGAGCTGCTGCATTCTGCACGGACTGTAACCTATTAACAAGAAACCTAGGTATACCATAAAGTAATGAGTTGCAGTAATCAAGTTTAGCACTGATAAAAGCGTGGACCAAGATCTCACAAGTAGTTTGATTAAGAAATTTACGAATCTTAGAAATGTTTCTTAAGTGAAAAAACGAAGTCTTACATATCTGTTTAACATGATCCTCCATACTAAGTGAATTGTCAAATAATACACCTAAATTACGAACAGAATGACTGGGCGCTACACTTTCAGTTCCTACTAGTATATTAGCAATRTCAGGCCTAGGACGAAACTTAGAGCTTATCACTATCAGTTCAGTCTTGTCTTGGTTTAGCTTAAGGTAGTTTCTAGTCATCCAGCAGTCAATATCCTGAACACAACGTTCAAATGAGGACTGTGCATGCTCAAGATCTTTGGAGCAACTTGTTTTGAACGATACATATATTTGAGTATCATCAGCATATAAATGATATTGCAATTTATGTCTTTTGATGATGTCCGCAATTGGAGATGTGTAAAGAACGTACAACAACGGTCCCAAGACCGATCCTTGAGGAACACCACGAACTAACGGCTGTTGATCTAATATTACACCATCAACTTGAACAAACTGCGTACGATTATTTAAATATGAAGTCAGCCATTTTAGTACGTTACCGTTTATACCAAAACGGAGGGAAAGTCGAGATAACAATTTGATATGATCGACAGTGTCAAAGGCCGCCGATAAATCTAAMAATAGCAATATCACAGACTCGTTACGGTCCATCGCACATAAGATGTCATTTTTTACTCTAAGTAAGGCAGTTTCTGTTGAGTGGTAGGACTTGTATGCAGACTGGAAGAGCTCTGACAGATGGTTTGTAGTAATGTAGTGTGATAACTGGACTGAGGCAGCTTTTTCAATTAACTTGGAGACAAACTTTAGATGAGAAATAGGACGGAAGTTTTCAAACTTGGTGAAGTCGGCGCCAGGTTTCTTTAATGTTGGTAGGAGAGCAGCAATTTTGAAGTCATCAGGAAAAGTACCAGTTAATAGAGAAATGTTAACAATGTTGGTCAGGACAGGCAGTAACACAGGAAAGCATTCTTTTAGTACCAATGCAGGTAAAGGATCAAGGCTACATGATTTATCTATTAATTTACCTGCAAGAGACTTGACATCATCTTCACTGATACTACTGATACTAGGACTTCAGTATCAGAGAGAGATATGTTTTTCTCTATCAAGGAGCGATGTATTCGTTCAATCTTAGCAGTAAAAAAATCTGCAAAGCTATTAGCAAGAGTTGCATTATCACGGGAAGGTGGGTAGCGATTCTCACAAGGTTTCTGTAACAGTTTGTCTACAGCATTAAATAGTGCACGTTGATCATTGGAATGATCATTAATAAACGTGGTGTAATATTCAGATTTAAGCGATATTATGAGATTGTTGACAACAGTACATTGACGTGTATATTCCTGACGATCAACTTCTAGTTTGGATTTACGCCACTTCCGTTCAAGTCTTCTTCTTTTTTGCTTCTCCACAGTGACATCAGTTGAATACCAAGGTGCAGCTGGACGAATAGTTATCACTCGTTTTTTAATAGGTGCATGTTTGTCCAATATTGATTTTAAAATGGTATCATAATTTACAGCTAAGCTTTGCAGGTCAGTATAATGATTATTGACTAGTAGTGAGTTGGAGATATCTTCACATAGAGAGGCCATGTCAATGGAGCGAAGTTTTCTGAAGTAAACAGTCTTTTTCCTGAATTGTGGTTTATGCAAAGACAGTTCGCAGCACACAGCTGAATGATCAGATATAGTTGGATCAATAATCTTTATATTCTGTATTAGAGGATCATCAGACCTACTAATCAGTAAATCAAGGGTGTGGCCACTAATATGAGTCCCACAGGAAACCCGCTGCTTTAAATCAAACGAGTCTAAAATATCAGCAAATCGTTTCGCATGGAGATCATTCTGACAGTCCACATGTATATTAAAGTCTCCAGTTATAATAAGACGACCAGAGGACTCAGCATGGTATTTTCCAACAATTGAGAAAATTCTTCAAAGAACAGGTTGACAGTATTGTTATCAGGAGGACGGTAAATAATTATTATTCTGACAGACTGAAGATTACGAAGACGAACATCCATAAGTTCAAAAGTGTTAAAAGTGTCAGTCAATGATGTATTAATATTTAGAGTGTCTTTAAAAAGAAAGCCAACTCCTCCACCTCTGCCAAAGGGCCTGGGTACGTGTAAAAAGCTATATCCAGATGGACATAGTGTACCAATCTCCACATTATCATCATTTTCAGGTCGAAGCCAAGTCTCAGTTAACGCAAGTGCATCAATATCTTTGTCTACAACAAAGTCCTTGATAACCATAGCCTTATTACGAACTGAGCGAGCATTCAATAATACGAACTTTAGATGGCGTGATGTAGAATTGTAAGAACAATTATCTTGTTTACTACCACTGTTATAGCGTTTTAATGTTGTGTTCTTATGCGTCGCACAATCTTTGATACCGTCAGGACCAGGCTGTGGATGTACATCACCACATAATATTATAGATAGTTCCACAAAGTTAAAAGACGCATCAGAATTTGCATAATAAGGAACACGGCTCTTGAAAAATCTTTTCTTTTTAACTCTAGACAAAAGCGTTCCACCTTTAAACAATCCAGCATTTTCACGTGCTAAGTTCTGTAGATGCAAATGAGTAGCTTGACCAAACCAAGCCAGCCTTGAAGCAGAACCAAAACCAAAAAAGTCATTTTTAGCAATGAATTCAGCAAATTGTAGATTATAGCTAGCAGTAGATGTTATAGATGTTCTTAGGAATAATCCTGTGAGATAGGATTTAGAAGACACATTCCCAAACAGCAGCAAAAGAACGAAAAAGACGAACATTCCAAAGCCGTGGCAATCACGATTGTGCGGATGCAGCAAAATCTATCGCAGCCCATGGGCTGAATTACGTAATTATGTACAAACAATGAAAAATATGTATTAATAATAATAATAGTGATAATAATTTAAAAATTATTATTATTATTATAGTAAAAATAATAAAATAAGTAAATTTGTAGCAATAATAATTCTAAAAATTTAGGGATAAAAGCTAATAGATATAAGAAAAATTTTTTTATCGTCATCATTACGCAATTATAGAAAAAGCGGGATCGTTTAACACCACCGCAAGTACAGCAGTGGCGCAGATCATGGTCTTCGAGCTGAAAGCATGGGAAGACGTCTTTAGCAGCCGTTTTCATCATCAYCATGTAACATTTGTTATCACTGCACCGCCATCGCCATCTCCACAAATCATCATGACCATCATCATATCATGACCATCACCATCACCATCATCACCACCTTCATTATCATCACCATCATCATCATACGAATGTACATAATATTTTCTCACAAATCCCACGGCCAAGTGAATAGCCTGCGTCAACAGGAGCAAAGTTTCGCAAAATTTCGATAATAGTTAAACAAAAATTAACTTATTCATTTATTTTAGGACTATTACATCATATTTTCTTTCTGTCACAAAACAAATCCCACAGTCACGTGATAAGCCTGCGTTAACAGCCGTTTCTTGCACTTACATTTTGCATCCTATGATAAGAGAGCACGAAAAAATAAAAATAAAATAGGATGAAAAGAAAGGGAAAGAAAATAAGGAAATGAAGAAATATACACTCACTTCCTCATGTCGTGAATACTATATTGCGTATACTACCCCCTTATAAAAAGCAGCGCTAGCTCTGAAATTAACGAAGGAGAGAAATGAAAAGAGCACCTCGATATTAGTAAGAGGGCGAGAGAAGTTTTAGCTCAAGATGTTGGATATAAAAGAAAATGACATTAAATGTATATAAAGTCAACCATTTCATGCGAGAAAAGCGTCAGCTGCGCTCGCCAGCGCACTTTCCAAAACAAATCCTTACGAAACGTTCCATTTTATATTTAATGCCATTTCTCCAGTTTTGCTTGTCATGAGCTCATGTGTTCCTACTTCCTCCACCTGTCGAGGTGGTCTTTTTATTTCTGTTGTTCATTTTGACACACCGGCTCTTTTTTAAAGGGCTAAAGCCACGTGATCCGTTAGTRCAAGTCGTCTATTAGAGCATGTTCCTTGCGGTGGATTAATATTGATGATTAAAAAAAGAAAGAGAAGTAAAAAGAAAGGAATTAAAGAAAAAAAGAAGATAAAATAAAAAGATAAGGGATAATCAAGCTTATCTGCAAATTGTATTGCATAACTGATATGTTATGAAAATAAGCTTAAATATGTGAAAACACTGAAATGCATTTTAAAAATGTTTTGCCTCTCGTGGTGTTTATTTTTAAAGTCGTTCGTGTTGGATACTCATTTCAGGTCTATATATTCAATTCCAAGTGTTTTCCTAATATAAATTCTCTCACTTTTTTTTCAGAGCCACTTGTCTTGTTCTTCCTGTTTGCCCCTTTTCAGTTCGAGAGCGCAATACGTGTTGTGAGGTCGTCCAAATTTTCGATTAGCTTAATGACCTATTCACCGTAATAGCCTTATAATTTGCCATAACACTTACCTTGGGGTAAATTATCTTGTGATATTGCCACACCAATGGAATCCTTTACTTCCACCGAAATACAGTCTTTTTGTGGCGGCTTTGTTGCACCGGGAATTCTTTCTCCTTTCTCCTGCACACCATCTTTCTGGCTCACAATTTCGTTAATGTTTTCATCAATTTTTATTTCCCCGTAAGACTTTACTTTCCCCAAAGCTTGTTCTACTGCCCTATCAGCCTCGATACGGTCCACATCATACCGCATATTCCCTCGTTCCCTCGGTATGGTGTTAAGTTCAGCCTTGTTAAGTTCAGTCAGTCGATTTTTGATTGGGTCCTTTAACAGCAGAAGTTCGACTTCGTTAGCATGCTTTAAAACTTGTGCAGTAAAATCACAAGCGGTTTTGAATTTGATGTTTTCAAGACATAATTCATTTTGTTGGTCTTCAATTATGGAATTCTTGAATTTGAACATTTGATCGGCTTTAGAAAGGAGTTGTTTCTCTCTTTCTTTGAGAACTTGAATTAGCTCTGTCGTCATGACGCGAATCTCCGACTTTACCGTCCCTAAGCGACCGTGCAAGGCGTCTCTAAAGCTCCTAATGTCTGCGTTTGCCTGTTCAATAGTCTTAATACGTGGAAGCGTTTCTTCAAGAAGGCTTTTAAGGCCGTCTTTGTGTTTCTGGATTTTCTTGGACTCAGATATATAGTCGTATTTGTGCTGTCTGTGTTCGATAATGAGACAGTCTCGGCACACAGCTTCGTTGCATGTACCACAAAAATAATTGAGTTGCTCTGTCTTGTGATTCTTGCAATAAGCCAGTCGATGTAGAACCTCTCCAGTAGTACTAGACAAAAGCTCTGTTATGGTCAGAATCCTGTGTTCCTTCGTCTGGCGGATTCTTTTATGGACGTTGTAGCAATCACCACAGAGGAATTCCCCACAGTCGATACAACGTGAGTTGGCTGTAGCATTCAAGTCACAGTTTGTACACGGCACCGGCTCAGAGTCACTCGAGTTGATTAAAGCAATATCTAACATGTTATCCAAAAAGAAATTATTCGGCAAATTCTCTATTTCTTCTTTCGGAATTCGAATTTCGGTTTTGCATTGCGGGCAAAGGAAACCTTCGTTGGCATTAGCGAGATCTTCGAGACATTGTTGGCAGAAAGAGTGAAGACATGGAAGTAGCTTTGGGCTTCGAATCAGTCTATCGCAGATAGAGCAGTTTAGATGTTTTGAAATCTCTTCCACGTTGACTCCGGCGATAACGGACGAAGACATGATGGAAAGGTATAATAACTCAGAGAACTGCCGAAATGATGCTAGAACAGTTTGTGTGATTTGAAACACAGCGAACACTTTGCCGGCTTCCAGTCTAGTGATTCTAAGCCGATATCATTACGCTTATTTTTATAGCGTTTTCCTTAGCAACAATCAATTTTCTTGGTTACTGCCGACTCTCAAACTTCCAATTTATTCAAGTTTGGTTTAGACTTCGAAAGCTTCTGAGCCATCAATAAATCATTAGCATATGAGAATTATTCAATGGATTGGTGTTTTTGAATTAAAAACGACATAAAATTAAGCAAACATTGATAATATCGAGTGCCTCAAAGCTGAAAAGTAAATTTGTAAAGAAACTATTATACCAATGACGATGAATTACGTTATCCGCGTTGGCAAATCATGTAAAATGATAGGGTTTTATATTTGCCATAGAAAAGCGAAAACTTTAGCCATTCAGCTGCTTCCACAATACGTGGAAAAAAAAAAAAAAAAAAAAAAAAAAAAAAAAAAGAAAAAACAGGTTAATATGTGTGTTGATGTTTGCGAGAAAAACGGTATAATTTCAAAAGCAAGTATCTTTATTTCTTCAATGCAAAAATGCTTAAAACTAAATGAAAAGGGAAAAAATGAAACAATGATTATTGAGAGAAAAACATAAGCGGGTATATATCCGTTGTTTTTACCCCAAAAAAATTACAAAAATAGAGAAAAATAAAAGGAGAACACTGTAGACAAATTCTAATTTATTTGAGCAGCTTTTGTCGTATATAAATTCAGTTCTTTTGTTATGTGACAGGTGATTTGGATGATGGCACATACGGGAACATTGCACCACAGGAAGACCAAATCACAGAATCCTAACAGTTAAGCTTGGGGAGTCCATAAAAATAGTCTTTGACCATGGTGCCTCGCAGTAGTCTCAATTCTTACCTTGTAAAAATACTATTCGTCTAGCGTGGCAAGCAAGACTGAGATGGCATTGTGCTTGAGTCGAGAGTGACAAAATATATGAACATTTCAAAAAGCCAACGGATTGGAAAAGGTTTTGTTGCATGTTGCACTTTACATGCTTTGTGTTGCATCAATGCTTCGTACCAAGCTTGAAATGTATATATATATTCTCATGTATACTGTAAACTCAATAAGTTTTCAGCGGGAAAATGCTACGTTGCTACTGACCTTTGCCGATTGCGTTCAGATCACACATAGTGCTTTTCGGGCTTCGCAACATGAGAAAGCTTGATACGCTTATTTCAAAAAACGTTGTCATCGCCAAAGGCGATAGTCGATAGGTCATTCCGAGAAGGATATGGTTTCGTCGACTACAAGCAATATTGAATCAGTCTCAACGCTAAGGTCCATGTTATTGACGAGAATATGAAGCAGAAACACAAGTCATTTCAGCCATTCTTGGATCTTGGAATGATCTATCTCCTATTGCTCAGTTTTCTCCTATCGCCTATTGTCTTTCTCTTTTGGCGATGACAACGTTTCTTAGTGAAATAGGCGTATAACGGTCACGTGTCTGAACTGGAATGCAAAATTTTTGTTTTTATATGGATTCTTTTTAGCTTTCTTTTTAGCTTTTTTAGCCTTTTCAATGTGGAAGTCCATCCACACAGTTATCAAACGGTTGAAACATGTAAAATGTATCTACCCCGCATAATCTTCGTCGGTAGCTTCTCAGGTGACTAACTTTATTGCGCAGCCCCTCCCCCGGGCACAATCATCCCCCTTAGTCAGTATAATGTAATGCATTTACCACTCCGAGGGGGTGGACTGCTTAATACCTAACAGGTTTTGCAACACAATTGATAAGGCAGCCAATTAGAGATCAGGACCGGAAAACCTTTTCAAGCACAGCAGAGAATCATGAACAAACAACTCGAGTCACATCACATGGATGCATACGACACCGAGCACGCCAGATCTCGAGCCCTTTGCACAATTAGCAGCGCCTGTCACCTTCCCTTATTAAGGGCTGTCTCACCTTTATTAAAAATATTTGTAAATAGAAGAATCTGAAAAAGCTTGACATTCTATCAACTGTGGTAGTGATTCGATGTCAGCGCAAAGTGAAACATTTTTAGTATTTTTAATACTTAAAGACAAGCTTCACTGTTTGAATTTCCCAACGGCTAAACATGTCATAAATTTTATCGAGAAAATGTGTCCTTCATTTTGTATGTTCATGCTAGCCTCGTAATTAAGATAACTTTTAGATCTGGGGGTCATTACATTTTTGGGGGGGGGGAGTTTTTCCGTTTTCTGGTCCATACTGGGCTTCCTGTGTGAGGTGTTCAGCGGTAATGTTTTTCAAATTACCCACAAGCCTTTGTTCCGCGCGTTCTTCTTCTCGATTGTCGGCCATTTTGTTCTGCACTTGTGAAGTCGTTGGAGCATTTTAGGGGAAATGGCGGCTGATAGCGGAGTTGATATCGATCTCTACGCTGAAGTAGACGAAATAGACCATGATATTGGTGGTCAGGTGAGTGTTTTCGCGTTTTGTATAGTGAGAAACTCTTAGATATAACTTTAAAATGTTTGACAAATTGTGAGTTAGCTAATTTAAATTTTCCGCATCCTGGCAACTAGTTAAGGTTGGTGCCTACTAATTTCGAACCATTTTTATTTTTTTCAAATTGTGCCAGTCATTTAAATCACCCAAGAGGCCACTAAAATGCAAACCTACATTTAGTTTAACTTCACGAGTGCAAGAGACAGATTTAATAAATCAAAATGATAATTTTCTTTGTCAGTATGCTCTTTGAGTGAACGTTTTTGAATATACTTTTTGAGTGAGTGAAAGACATTTTTTGTAAATACGAGGTCTTCCAAGGACAAAAGTTTATTTTATGTAATTGTACTCGCAGGAAAAGCTAAATGAATGGCTGATATTTGGTGTAATGTGTGATTCCTTTTCAATTTTCATTTAACTTTAAAACAAACTAAGCTTATCTGTATGGAAACATTGAAAAAGTTATTTTATTATTCACCGATCCGAGGCCATTGAAACTGCCTTTTCTAGAAAGTAAAAACATATGATTTTTGCCAAAAACACCTGAATTCTTGAAAATTACTCTGTGATACACCTTTGACTACATAAATAATAGTTATTGCTGTTGTTCTTGGTCTTAATTTTTTCCAAGGCCGATGTTTTCTGTACCTTTGAGTGTTTTGCTTTTAAAACCCGCGGGAATCCCTCGATGCAGATGCGCAGTAAGTGTGTGCGCTGACAATAGTAGCCACCAACCTTAAGTTGTATTATATTTCAAGCTTTTTTCAATTAATTTCAAAATGAGGGAAAATATATTAGTTATCAAGCAATGAAAATGTATTACTACGAAATCCACCATAGTGTGGAAACACAAGAAAAAAAATATGCCATTGTCCCACAAACATTGTCATTTTATCACGGCTATTTCAAATGCCAGAATTAGCAATGTATGCTAGATGTCATGTGCAAAGATTGTTGCGAGTTGATATTAAACTATTTACCATATATGGTAAATAGTTTAATATCAAAGCCGATCAAATTTTGCGAAGAGATTTAAACTTGGTTGAATCGAGAAGGAGATCGGGCGCAGCGAGTTCGCATAAACTAGAAGACCTACATTTTCTAGAGAGGTCGGAGATTGAAGTTGAAAAATTGTTCTGTGGGCTAACATGGAGACTTTTTCTCCATGCTTCTTGGAACTCCCAGTATCGAGGCGGGATTTTATGGGTAAGCCCGTGTAGTGCCAAAATATGCAATGTTTTTCAAATTTTAATGCCGTGTTTTGCTTCTAGCGAAAGCTTATCTTAGAAAACAAGACCTTTAACCCATAGAAAAGGTCTTTTTGAAAAGATCTGAACAGATTGTACGAATAGATGTGTCATCAATTTCTCAAACTTGTTGCGCACAGTATACTGTATATACTTGACGTGATATTATTGCTCATTCACAATCATCTTATGTACTAGTACATGTTTATATGTAAATGAAATTCAAGTTAATGATATGATACACTTAAGAAATAGAAAAATAATCGTATGATATATAAACTGATTTGTTAGTAGAAGTTAAATTTTTTATTTATTTATTTTTGTTATATATATATATAATTATTCGCTCTCATAATCGAGAGTTTCGTCGCTGTCACTGTTTCCAGTGAGGTCTTCGCTTTCCCAGACAATATTTATAGACCTTGTCATTCCTTTATTTTCTGGATCATTTAGACACAAATACCATGCATTTGATATCATTCACGAATAAAGTAAATAATTTCTTCACGATCAGCGATCCCTTCTTGTTTGGAAGAAGTCGAATTTCGAAACCATGCTTCTCGTAATATGATATATAGTTTTACACAAGAATAGCGTCAGCCATACTTTTGGTCAGYGGATTAAAATAATGATTTGAAACAGCCATGTTATGTCTCAAAACATACAAATTGTTGTCTACATTCCTTAGCGGCGGTTCGATAAAAGAGCATACGAGAGCAAACTAGGAGCCTTTTTAATCCACGTTTTGCAAAATCACAAAGAAAAATAACAAAGCAAATTCGAAATAAATATAAAAATGTATTTTAAATGGGGATTATTCAAACAATTGAAACACTTAGAAACAATCAAGATCTTTCAAAGCTGCACATGCTTTTAGCCAACATAGTCAATTGATAAAAATCAATGTCAATAAAAGTCACGAGGTTGTTATCAATTTCTATTGCAATCGTTAGAAATGGATAGAAATAAAAAGTGTGATATCGATTTTTATTGAGTTTAAGAACATAGATTTAATGGGTATTAAAACCCGACAACACTATGTTTGACACAGGTATTCAGACGCAAGCAAGGGGGAAGATGGTGGGGAGCAACGTGTGTGAAAAAGTATTAAAGAAAAATGATAAAAAAGAAGAAACATAGATAATAAGAATGATAAAAAAGATAAAAAAGAAAAGACATAGGTAAATAAAATAAAATAATCAAGGGTGTCAGTGATTGAAATAGTTGAGTGTACGAGACTTATACAGTCAATGTCATTAACATTGTCCACCGAAAAAAGACATTTACACATTTTAGAATAAAAGGAATATCAAGTGTTTCATTATGTATTCTTTGCCTTATGTGTGTCAGCCTGAACTTTAAATGTAAAATTCAACTCGTGAATCGAAAATCCAGAATGCCCCGACCATTTAGTGAGGATTTAAGATGGAGAATGGTATTTCAGCGTTTGTTTTACACCAGGACATTAGAGGAAACACGTGATATTTCTTTTAGTATAAATGTCTAAATGTCTTTTTTCGGTGGACAACGTTAATGACATTGACTGTATGAGTAGAATAGGGATAGGTATTGTAGATAGGTAGCAAAGGTAAAGTAAATGAGAAAGTACATCGTATGATGTATATTGAATTGAGAATAAAAGCGCATAGAGTCAAGGCAACATTACGAAACTTAACTTAGGGTTAAGCTTCTGGCGCTAGAAGTTTTGGAACATGTAGGTGGAATACTGACCTTTACCTTTTGTCTTAACCCCTGATGTTAAACACTTGGTAGATCGAACGACTATCCCAGAGCTTTCTTATTTGGATACTCTACTTATTTTATACATACTGAGATTTTCTTATCAAATTTCCCTGTGTGAAAAACAAGCTCGTGAATTTTTTTAGCCAATCAGAGAGGCGAAACGATTTGTCATGCGAGAAAAAAGTGTTTCGTCCAATCGCAAACCCCTGTTGAGGTGAACTGTGTTTTTGCGGCCATCACGGGTAGCTTTGTTGAGCACAAGCTTTCAGTTATTTTCAGTGTATGCGAGTTGTTCATAGTTCAAATTAAACTTATCTAATCAAGAGCTAGGAGATATTCGTGAGGATGGCTGAACAATCAAGAAGATTTGTGTCTCTAGGCAAACCTATAGACAAGTTTATCGAAGACCAAAAAAAAAACCAGAAACACTATTTCGAAGGCACAAAGAGATGTAAGTTTGCCTACTGAGTTTCTCGACTCCAAAAATGAAACGAGAAGAGTCGAGGAAATCCCGGCAGAAGAGCTTAATGAATATATCAGTGAATTACAGTGCTATCTCAAACGAACAACAGAAAAACATGTCTTTGATTCTGAGTGGAAATACTACAAGTAC